AAAAAATGTTTTATTTTTCCTGTTTTAGCTGTTAAGGTTAAGAGTTATGCCGATGCCTTGCTGAATCGTCCGCCGTCCCTCAACCTGCAGGACCTTCCCTGCCCGGTGTCGTGTTGCACATGCAGCACACCGCACGGCATCCTTACGGACGAGTTGCGGCTCGAGGTCACACATGTATTTGGGCATGACGTCCTCCTGGTTCAATCGATGGGGCATTGTCACCGGCGTTTATCGACGCAAAAACGTTGGCAGACTTGCTAAAACAGCTAGATAACACCCTGCCATTGGGTCTCCAACTTCCGGTTCCAGCCGAGCAAGGCAAGGTACCGTTTTATAACCGTACAGCGCAGGTAACTCCTGTGATTACGGCCGAGACTTTAGACTTAAATGTCCACATTCCTCTGGTCCTAACCACTCGAAAGTTCCGGTTGCATGAGGCCGCCGCATGGCCATTTAAAATTAATGAATCTGATTAGTTTGTAATGTATAAGCCAGAAGCCAAGTACATAGCCGTTGGGGCCGACCTAAAGTCGCACATCTTGCTTAATGAAGCCGATTTGCAACTTTGTCAGTCCCCGGATACGCCGGTGTGCCATCCTTCGGTCCCAGTCCACACCAAGCCAACGTGCATGCTTGCACTCCTGATGTCCGACAAAAAGGAGATGGCCCGTCTCTGCGAGCCGTCCTTCGTCAAGGTTTACCAGCTACCGTGGAGGCCACACTTGGGCCTTCAGTCTGCCGAGCCCAGCCAAGATAAGCTTGTCAGACGCCCAAGGCCGAGGCCTGCTCTCCAACTTGACTAAAGTGCCCCGTACAGGTATTTTGCACATCCCGCCCTTCACCTCTGCGGAAGTGGACGGCCTCGTCCTGTTCTCGGGAAGCAGTTTCATCAGCCAACTGGCCTTTGATGACGACGTGGTGATTCTGGACGTGTCCGTAGTGGGATCCAGATCCCATCAAGACAGAAATAACAGGAACCCTGGATGAAATATCAGGAATCAAGGCCGAAATAACCAACTTCCGTGATTCTATCCCCCAACGAAAGCGAAAACGCAGGAATATAACGGGCAGCCGGCAATGACGGGCAACACCGAAGATAGGCAATCTGCAAGGCGCCGACAGGCGAATGCCGCTTGTTGGAGCCACGGGAACGCCACAACCTATTGCAGCATCCTGTGACCCAGTCAACGCAATTAACTTATGCGCCCCCAGCTCTCTGTTCCTGCCGGTACTCATGCCGGACGCACCGACAGAAATGAATTTGCAGATGGTCCGATGGCCAAAAATTTTCTACAGGAGAGTGGAACGGCTCATGCTTTCAGATCTGCGCAACGGCACAAGGTTGTTTTCGCCGGCGGCTATGTTCCCAGCACCACCCCGGCCATCACCACTGGGAGTAGGCAGCCGGGACCCAGCACCCATCAGCCCCCGACTACCGTACATGCCCGACGAGGCAACGGCACCGGAGGAAACAGTCTCTTTCGTACAAGAATACACGACTGAACGGGCATACTACGTCAACCCCTACGAGACTTCCACACGGGAAGTACCTTTGGACACAGCTGACAAGGAAGAGTATGTGGACCCCTTCTCAAGAAGAAAGAAGAGACACATCCCTGTCGTCATGTACACAGCTGCGCCACAGGTCCCAGGAGTAAGCAGTACGCTATTACCCGAACGCGAGGACACGGTGCCAAAACAGCCGATCGGACACAAAGTGGAAGAGAAACAAGTAAAAGTAGTCTCCAGACCTTTCGGAACACCAGACGAGGAGCCACCAGGAAGAATCAAGAGGACAATGAAACCAAACTTCCCCAATCTGGCAGACCCGGCAGTTTGGAACCCAGCTTTCAACCCAGGGGACTCCAGCGGTCTATGGCCCATTGACATGGACCAGAATGGAACGGATGCGATCGATATAAGCGGAACCCCTAATCGGAGCAAGCGCAGCTTCCCAGGGTTAGTAACCCGCATCGTCACAAACGTCATGAACAGAACCAACCTAGAAACTGGGGGACTGATCTCCGCCGTTATCAAGCAGTCAACCCGCCAGAAAAGAGGCATGCTAAATGTGTTCGGAACAGTAGGCAATTGGCTATTTGGCACGATGGACGATGAAGATCGCAAACGTATTAATGATGAGATGTTACGTCTGGGCAGTCAGACGCAATTGTTGACAAGGATCAACATTGAATTTGCGTCCAAACTGAACCTAACAGTGAAGACTATACTGGAACATGATATCCAAATAAAGAAACAGGTCAAGCTAGCAGCCACGGACTACGCGTCTGCGCGCTCGTCCGACATCACTTTCAGCTTACTAATGCGCAACACACACGCAACAATCGCCGCCATACGAGCAGAAGTCTTTGCTTTCATGACAGCGTGGGAACTGGCCGTCACGGAAGGAACCCTCACATCCACGTTCATCGAGCCACGAAAGCTACTGCAAATAGCACTCGGGCTGGAAGAACAGGTGAAGGAACATGGACTAACCCTTCCAATCAAGCCAACTCTGGCCAACATCCATGTGTACTACGGAGCTATTACCACCCAAGCTTACCTGACGAAGGATTCCTTCACTCTTTTCCTGCATTTCCCGCTCGTCATGAAGAATAAGGTCTTCATGCTTTACAAGGCGGTACCTTGGCCCGCACCCATACAGAATTCCAAGAACTACCAGTCTTATCAGCCCGAAACAGACTACATCGGGATTAACAACAACCTGGACGCCCACGTGTTACGACGTCGACAAATGCAGACACTCGGAAATAACGGTCTGCAGCCCAACTGTCGCGATGCACGGAAAGCAGGGCTCTTGTTCCATGGCGCTTCTCACGTCCGACGAAGAAATGGTCGGCAAGTACTGTGAACCCAGGTTCATACAGAAACCGGCCGACAGATTCATGGGTTTCGCACACGGAACAAGCTGGGCTTTCTCCTTAGGCTCACCTGCAAAACTCTACCTTTCCGATGTTCGTGAGCCAATGCGAGATATGCCTACGTTACAACAGGGGCAGGCACCAGCCTCGTGCGTGTCTCCCCAACACCTGGGGCATGACACCGGGAGGCCGTCTATGTGGTTGGCCCCCTAAAGCCGGACATGTACGAGTACCGGTACATCCTGACAACCATTTGTGTCTTTACCAGATTTTTGGTGACGGTACCCTTGAAGGATATCAAGGGGCACACGATCACCGAAGCACTGGTCACACAGGTGTTTACAATGATCGGTGCGCCGCGGGAGATTCTCACGGACAATGCACCAAACCTGGTAGCGGGGGCCCTCGAGGAGTGCCACTCCCTAATAGGCATTCAGAGAATACGTATACATACGTACATGCCCTCGGAGAACATCGTCGAGCGTTCACATTCGGACCTGATGAGAGTCCTGGCAAAAATTGTGGAGCAAGATCAGCTCTCGTGGTCACAGTGGGTGAGCATCGCCCAATTCTGCCACAACCACATGGTTAACCGCTCGACGAATGAAACCCCGCACTTTGCGATGTTTCTCAGAGGCGGCCATTTTCCAACGGCCTCCTTCCTCGACCCCCCCGCCCCCTACTATACGCCTTCGGTGAGGATTACCTCAGGGACATGCTGCACCGCATGCGTCTGACGTTCACTGCCATGGCAGACTCAATGGACAAGGCGTCGGCGTACAGAGAGGAGTACGCCGGCCGCAAGGCACGGTCCAAGGACGTGCGGGTGGGGGACAAGTGCTTCCTGAAGGTAGAAGCTGCCCCCGCCCACCTGTCCACCAAACTCTATGAGCGATGGTCGGGGCCTTACAGGGTGCTCGAGGTGTTCGGCAAAAGGTCGGTCCGCATCCAGAGGATCTTCCCAACGGACGCGAAGGGGGCGGAGCCACTAGTTGTCCATATAAACAAACTGAAAATGGCCCCCGCGACCTGACTGCCAGAGGGCAGCCGGCCGCGCAGCCGGGCCCAAAGCCGGCGCGGAGAGTAAGTTTTGCCTGTTTAATTAACCATTTCTCTCTCACAGATCCCTGTGTGGTACTCTTCTTCGCACTGGTGGCCACAGTGTCCTGTGTAATAAAGGACCCGTTCATCTCCACCAAGGGCCACGGGACGGCGGAGGTGGACAAGGTCACCTTCGAGGAAGGTGCCCCACCTGCTTCTAATCTTAAGCCCTTTTTTTCGTGGGGACTTCATCCCCCTGGCCTTCAGCCATTTATGGGGGGATGATGTGAGGCATTGCCAGCAGTGAAGTATGTTGCACTGCTGCGCACACTGTAAGTGTCCGGGTTGCGCGTCGCCAAGGTCGCTGCTGCAGGCGCGATGCGCGTGCAGCAGCTGCGGCGTGGCGGGGCACGGACACACGCCTCTATATAACGTCTGCGCTGCACTGGCTAGACACAGTCCAGGCGCAGCGGCAGACCCCTGTACAACTATGCGTGAGTAATAAAGTGTTTCCAATGTAAACCGTTAACGAGTGCCCTCCTTGACGCCCGAGAGTAGTCATCACATGGCACATTTTGTAGCATTATTTCTACTGATTCCGAATATGTACTTGCTTAAAAGTGTACGAAAGACGGGGGACCCCACCTGCGGTGCAGGTGCTGTTACAGGACTTACTCAGGGGCAATCTAACTACCCTGGAGAATTACTCCTCGCTCGCCCCATCGAAGGCCCTGCTCGATGCAATGGCTGACTGCAAAACTCTCATTTCCGTGGATGTTGGCTCTGAGTGTAGAAGCGTTTTTCACCGACTTCCTAACCTAAAGTTTGCGTTTGTCTGAGTGGAGCCCCCACATTCTCCCGCTGTGCTTCCACGCGTTTTTACAGAGTTGTTTTGTGAGGCATTGCCAGCAGTGTAGAATGTTGCACTGCTGCGCGCACTGTAAGTGTCCGGGTTCCGCATCGTGAAGGCCACTGCTGCAGGCGCGATGCGCGTGCGGCAGCTGTCGCGAGGCGGGGCACGGACACACGCCTATATAATAACTGCGCTGCACTGGCTCGGGGTTCAGTCCAGTCGCAGCAGCAGTCCCCTGTACTTCGCACCACGAACATGAGTGAGTAATAAAAGTGATTATATGTACTGTTCTCTCGTGTCCCCCTTTGTCGCCCACTACCCCGAGGTGCAGTCATCACAGTTTACCCCGACACTGGTTGACATTCACGTGCTAGTTATAACCGGACACGAAGACGCGCAGGTTTGTTGGTAAAGCAGTGTCAGGAGAGCATAAAAGAGATAAGAAAGCGGGGATATAAGGGCATAATTACGTATTTTGTATGGTAGTGACACTCTCTGTCCCATTTTCTTGCAGACGTCATGGCCGCCCACGCCCACTTTGAGCTAAACCCGTGGAATAAAAAGTCATTGCTGGCGACAACGCATGCAGATGGCACTGATGCGTTCAGGTTTGGAAAGGTGACCAACTGCTGGACGACAAAGAGATCTCTAGCATCCTCGAATCGAGCCATTGGAATCGAGCTTATTGGAATTGTTGAAAACTCTGTGCAGGCGGGCACACTCACCAAAAACAGTTTTGTTCTCAAGCACTTCGATTTGACAAATTTGAATGTGTATGTTAATGGCTCACAGCACGCCTTGGGCCCGTTTGACTTTACAAAGAAGAATTGCGCCCTCGGATACCATTCTCTGCTCAAGGCCTCGGGCCTTCTGTCTCACGGCGAGTCCCCGATGATCACCCAGGAGCGATACCAAAATGGTTACGCCTTGTGGGGCTTCGACCTTTCGCCCGAGGGGAGCGCTGCGAGCCATGGCACACACTCTTCCGTCCAGCGCGTCGGCAGCATCCGTCTAGAGGCTTTGTTTTCCACCGCACCCACCGTCACAACCACCTTTCTGACTTACAGCATTCGTGAGGGGTCGTCCATTGAAATTGATAAAATGAGAAATGTTTATTTGTCCCTCTAACAGATGGACCAGTTGGTCGGATGACTCCGCTCCCTTCATCTCCTCGACTCAATCCCGCAATGTGCAGCCGTGATGTTTGAGTTCAACGGCGATGTGGATGCCTATATTTCTGCCGCTACATTTGATTGCACGAGTTGAGAGCTATCCGATGTAATGGTTTTTGGCGTTACGCACAAAAGTGGTGGGCATTGGGTCGTAGAGAGTGGAGAAAGATGGTCGGTGGTGCGAAATCGAATTGCTGATTTGGTGAGGATTTCGGGGGCCCGCCTCGTGTTTGTGTGGAGAAGCGAGCAGGCCGCCGTCCTTGCAAGCATCCCAGGATTCACTTGCACCGTTGTTGACTTGCAAGTCACAGCCTGCTCATCAAAAGCCTGTGTACTGCCCTTAGAAGTGGTTGCTCGCACAACAAGGGGCATGTTAAATTGGTTTATGAGGCGGCCAACCGAATAAAAAAAAACCAATATTTGGTTTTAACAGACGGACCCTGCTCATTTGGCGACTGTGCAAATGGCCGGTCATTTCGCACGTTGCAATAGTTGCAACAAAGTGCACTAATTGTGACCCCTTGTCAGCTCATTGAGCTAGTTAACGAACAATTTGCCTGCCTGCCGTTTGAGTGTCCAGTGCAAGTACCGAGTATGACTTTAGATAACCTTGACACGTGGAGGATTCCAGATAAGGGGTGGTCGCAAAAACACTTTTTTCGAAATCGCAAAAGTTAGACGACGCATTTTGTAGCATTGTTTCTGCTGATTCCGAATATGTACTTGGTTTTGAGAAAGGAGTAAAACTAAGGGCGCTACTAGCCTTATAAGTTTTGAAAAATTGCGAAAAATTCGAATATTCAAGGCTTCACTTTTTCTCCGTTTGAAAATCACAATACATTTTTGGAATCGGCAGAGAGAATGCAACAAAATGCGCCACCTTACCTTTGCATAACTTTTGCAGAATGCATATTTTGGAAAAAGTACGCTCTTAAGGGGTAGTCAAAAACACTGATAAGAACAGCGTTCCAGCAGTCGCAACCAATGCAATTAGTCTTGACACCTAGTACAGAAAGGTAGGGGGAGAGAGAGAGACATGAACGGTCCCTTTTGGAGGAATCAACCACCGGTCCAGCCGGAAGCGTGGGAGGACCTCTGGAACCACTTCCTCCGCAAACAAGGCAAAACGACTCAAGCAGTGACTCAGATGGCTGCTCCAGTCGAAACCCGTCTCAACGAAGCGTTCGGCAAACAAGCGACAGCAGCAGCACTAAGTAGTATAGTGTAGCGGCGTGTCAGCTGAGCCCGCGGTTTGGCGAAACACCAAACTTGACATGTTTGTGCATTTGGACAAAACAATGCCGCCATTCGAAATGACCGTGCTGGCCAAGGCGCCCGCTCCAAGGAGCTTGACTCTCCACGCCTATCGGCCCAAAAGCGTGCTACAGCCCGCGCGACACACTGAAACTTTTGAAAATGCGCTTCAAGAATCAAGGCTTGTTGTACACGATGAGATATTTATCGAGGACAGGCCGCCGCGCAATATACGCCAGGGCTACTTGGAAATGGTGTGGCGCAGTAGGGAACACCTGAAACGCGTGGTCATGTTTGTGGGCGGCGAGGCAAAAACCTCAGAGGGGCACAGTAGCCTGTATGTGCTTTCTCAACTGAAATTCCTCAGAGAGTTACGCCGTCACGTCTCTTCCAATTTGCAGTATAAGGGGGAACTTGCGGGGGGTCTGCCAAAACTGAAAAGCTTTAAAGTGTACGAAAGACGGGGGACCCCACCCGCGGTGCAGGTGCTGTTACAGGACTTACTCAAGGGCAATCTTACTTGCCTGGAGAATTACTCCTCGCTCGCCCCATCGAGGGCCCTGCTCGATGCAATGGCTGACGAAGGGCGCACCCACCGCCCGATCATAATCACGACCAACAACGACAATTTTCTACCCCCGGGAGGAGGTGTGGGACTCTAGGATTTGGCGATGGGACTGGAAAAAATTTGACAACTTAAAATTATTTAAAAAGAGGTGCCACCCAAGGCCTTTATTCGACTTGTTCAATAAATACAATATTACGGTCTGAATACATGTTCTTTTTACTGCCCCAGCCTCGGCCACGCCTTCCACAGCTGCACCGGCATTACTTCTCCCGGACGGCCCTCGAAATGTGTAAGACTAATGGCCGGTTTCCTTTACAGGTTCCCCTCTCAAGGCAGCAAAGAATGGAGGCCCTTCCCCTTGAAATTGTTTTCCATATTATGACATTTCTGGATGTGACTAGCATTATTCAAATTTTGTCAACTTGCAGACGCTTTCGGCTAGCAGGGAAACACCACCTCGCCATTGCTCAGCCCGCGCTGAGAATTGACGATATCCCACAGTGCATCACACCAGAAAATTCTAAATTTTCATTGGAGAGACACTTACTTACTGTTTTTAAAAGGCGTCTTCCAACACTGGCGCTTCGGCCCAGTGAATATTAGCATTCTAGATGGTCGTTTCTTGACGTGCACGCCCGATACTACCGGGCGATCAAATCACAACGTCAAGCTTTTGTGTAAGATGCTCACCCACACTATGACTCGAAAAAAGCGCGTTCGCAATGTATCTGATTTGTGTAATTATGCGGAACATTTTAGCGAAAAAAAAAACACTCACTCTTCCGTCCAACGCGTTGGAAACATCCGTCTCGAGGCCTTCTTTTCCACCGCGGTCGCCAATTTTGTAAGTGAGGAGGTGGCCACGTTTCAAGCCATCGGGCTCAACGTTACTTCCCTGCGCTGGGTCAGGCCCATCGTGGGCTCCTTTCCGACCATGATACTTCGGATGGATTAGGGTGAGTAAATCCCATTGTTGCTCACACCCCACGCGGCCCGGGCGCGGCACGGCGCCGGCGGGGCAGCGGTGGGGCGGGGGCGGGGGGTTTGTTTTTCAGGTCTGCTCAATCATAGGTTAACTGTCGTACCACAGCAGAAAAAAATCCCTTGACCTCTCCTCCCGACTTCGTCAAGACGCCAGGGTGAGTCAGTGTTCATCGGTACCCTTAAAATTGAACAGCTGCAATATCGTGATGCATTACTGCGAAATTCCTTTACCCTGCAGCCGCTCGCGAGTATTTCAGATGTGGAATTCAAGTGGAAGGGGCTCACGAAGGAGCGGAGAAGCACAATGATGGTCGGAGCATCCCCCGACCTGGAATTGGCGCTGTATACGTTGTGTTTTTGCGTGCGGAGTGACATCCGCGCATATGACGCAGGCCAGACCAGCGTCATCGGCCTGAAAGGATCCCCCTCACAGGATCCCCGATGACGATGCGAGCATTTTAGACCTAGGTTCCGACCATTCATTGAAAAGGTCTCGTCAAGATCTACTCGAATCAAGAATAAAAAAAATCTCGGTCAACCCCCTTTTTTCAAAATCTAGTTGACCAATCAGGATCTTAAAAAAATGAGGTTGACCAAAAATTTTTTTTATTCTTGATTCGAGTAGATCTTCACGAGACCTTTTCAACGAATGGTCGGAACCTAGGTCTAAAATGCTCGCATCGTCATCGTGGATCCTGTGAGGTGCCCGTCGACGTCCTCGGGGACCCAACGGTGACCTATGAGGCCTTGACCATGCCGTCCCGCTGTGGCATTGGCCGCTCGGAGAACAGAGAGATGAACACAAATAAACAACAGTGAGCTCCGTCTTTTGAAAGACAGAGATCACTGTAGTTTTGGGTACAGAGCGACGCTGTGAAACAATTAACAGGATTCTCTGTAGTTTTTTCTCGCAGTGTTGACAGTGACGCTGCTTTCGTCTCCGAAGGCGCAGACAGAAACCGAGAAGTTCAGTCACCGACCGACGACACACACGACGAGAGACAAGATTTGATCTTAAGAAACTTTCAGTTCCGCCTTCGAACTTTTTCCCACCGGGCCTTTCCAGGAGGCCCGAAGCTTTCACTGGAAGTTTTCATGCACGCTGAATGTATCAGGTGCAGGGAGCTTCAGAAGAACAGCGAAAACTTCGTCGCCTGCCTACGCCCAGAATGGCCTGGAGAAAAGAAGTTAGATGACTGGTCCCAAAATGGTGATCGACCCATGTCTCTCTAGCGAGGGCTTGCAGCGTTCGGGTTGGCTTCAGACTCGAACCTAGAACCTACAGTCTACACTGAAATTCGAAGGGTGAGACATCTCACCAATTTTCGGCGATACAAAACGTATCACCGAAAAAATGGTCGTACATTCATGTATCACCGAAAAAATGGCGTACACTTATGTATCACCGAAAAAAGGGTAGTACAGAAATGTATCACCGAAAAAACGGTGAGACATGAGCGAGATTGGCCCTTGTTTTCCTGGGGAAGTATCACCCTTTTTTCGGTGATACATTTGTGTACGACCTTTTTTTCGGTGATACATGCGTGTACGACCATTTTTTCGGTGATACATGCGTGTACGACTATTTTTTCGGTGATACATTTTAGTATCACCATTTTTTCGGTGAGACAGTTATGTCTCATCCCTCAGAGAGTGAGATGTATCACTATTTGATTTTCAGTGTAGCCAACCCGAATGCTGCAGTGACAGGCCAGCCTCACCACCGTCTAGCGGTCCTGACCGCCGCGGTGGTAGGCAGCCCATCACACTTCTCTGCCTCGATGCACCCAAAATGGGAGTCTAAAACCAGGCCCATTTTCACCGCATCAATGCATTTTTAGAGTATGCATAGGTTAGGTTAGGTTACGTTAGGTTAGGTTAGGTTAGGTTCGGTTAGGTTAGGTTCGGTTCGGAGGAAGCCTATGCAGCCTTTTGACGGTCCCCGGTTGGTACCGACCCTCGCCGGAGTTTCAAACGGCCCGCCTCCCCGCCCCACAGCCGTGAGACCGCCAGCACACGCACTCTCTCGGCCGCGCCGCCAACTGCCCAGCATGGGGTATACAGCTTTACTTCGCTACCCCGCGTCCAGGGCACCGGCTGCAGGCGTCTCTCCGAAAACGGAGTAGTCACAGCTAGAGACCCTCCCGTCAGAGATGCGAAAGCCAGCGCTTGGTAGTCCCGTGTAGTCAAAGGCACCCTGAGTCAGGCTAGCGGGCGACCGCCGTATACCTGCTGTGCCGCACCAGATGCTGACCTGCGTAGCCTCGCGCGGGGCGAATTCGGGCTTCCAGCTCCGCATGGGACTACCAATCGTCTGTGATTGGCTGAGAGGGCCCCCCCTTGCGCATCTCTGACGGGAGGGTCTCTAGTCACAGCCACCGCGTGGGGTACACGGTTTTCTTTTGATACCCCGCGCACCGGGCACTGGGTGCATGCGTCTCGACAAACCGGAGTCCTTGCCCGGCACACGCGTGGCGCCCAATGCACCGCGTGCGGTAACAGACTTCATGATGCAGCGCATGCACCGCATGCACCGCCTGCACCGCGTGAGTCGGCCTAAAGGAGGACAAGGCCGCACCGACTGCATGGACTGCAGTGGGGGCACGCGGTGCATTCTTTCGCAATTCTCGGTGCAAAATCGGTATATAAAGGGCTGCACCCGCGGCAGTGCAACCATGTCTTCCTTCGTGGACTTCCTCAGCGCTCTGTGCTCCCTGGCGGCTGCCTCCGCGGCTTCCTGGACGGGCCCTGACGAGCCCCTCTGCGTGGGAGTCAGCGCCGCGGCCAACACCTACATCGACCTTCTCTACACGATGTCCGCCGTCTACACGTCCCTACCGACTGCCGAAGAAGACGTCCGTGTCCACCTCAAGACCTTCGTCCCCTGCCTTGCCGAGCACTACCTAACGCCGCGCCACTTCCTCCAGGCGTTTCGAAGGTACCCAGACCTAACGCACGTGTACATCAATTGCTCCGGCGACTACACTACGGCCGTCCAAACATGCCCAACCAGCCGGAAACACATGAGCCTGCTGCCAAACGACGACACGTTTGCATTGACAGCAGCAGCGAAGAAAGTGATTCAGGCGGACTTCTGCCTACTAACCGCCCTGGCCCCGTTCCGCCCCGATCGCGGCCCGCTACTCCAACAATTCTGCACGGACCTCGCCG